CTGAGTCTTTATCTTCTGAGGAAACTTACTTCACTTTGGGATAGCACTGATAGGAAGTTTTCCCTTACATTCGCCTTAAGCTGGGCTTCTTGAGGCTTTTACCTGCTAGCCCAAGTTCTGCTTTCTGGAGTGAAGGAAACACAGTCTTTCATATGCTTGTAGACAGCAATTGTATCCTTTTATCACCCTTCTCCTCACCCAAGGTCTTTTCCAGGCTAAACATCTCCATGATCTTGAATGCCATGATTTTTAGGTCTTTCATAATTTTATTTGGAAGACATTCTGGCTGCAATACATAGGGCCAAGAAATAAACAGTCTCCCAGACATGACGGCCTGATAGGGCATAGTTCAGTAGCACTATTGACTCCTTTGTTCTGTAAACAACACAGGCCTATCACTGTAGCACATCAAGATCTTTTTGCATCCTGACCTCATCACTTAATGTGTTAGTTATTCCTTCCAACTTTGTTTGTACCTGAAGGTCTAGTTCCTGAAATCAAAAGATGCTTGCTTATAGTTTAATAAAGACATATACACAAATATAAGGAAACATGATGTACCATAAAAGTGGTATAATCAAGGAATTCAGATGACAAAGACATCATTTTTGAAAGGTGATGGGGCCAAATTACAAATGGTTTTACAAAAGAGGCATTTGAGCTTGGTCTTGATACAGGATTTTCTACAGTTACTGTCCCAATACCTATACACTTATTAAGGGGCTATCCATCTTATCATAATCTACATAGTATGCTTATTTCATTCATTTATTTTTCCTATGACAAAATACATCAAACTCTTGAGTGATCACATATCCCACTAAAGAAGCCCTTTAATATTTCTGGGCTTGATGAAACCAGCATGTCTCCACTTACAGTAAATCTTCCTTCCACTTGGATTGTGATGGCATGATAGAAGATGTACTATTTAACACTTTTGGTATCTATTGTGTAATTCAATTGATATTTGGGCAAGAAACAGTATAAGAAATTTATGTTTGCCTTATGATCTTATAAGAAATTTATGTATTAATTTTCACACATACATAGGAAATGCCTTGTTGGAGGATAGCACTACTGGGCTATTTTTCTTCTCTCTACATCTTTTTTTTTTTAGGCAATCAGTAGACATTGTGGAATCTTGTATTTTCTACATCCCTCATTTCTGACTATTAAGATGTTACAGAAAACAATTTTTTGAAAATTTACCTATTCCCAGTATTCACACTAGGAAACTTACCCTTACTAAGAGTAAGGGTAAGTTTTTGGCTAAAGCTCTTCCCTTGCTATTTAGTGTTTGAGGTAAGGAGGAAAAGAAAAAGTCAGCTCAATCATTCATTTCACTTTAAAAAAATATATGCATTCACTTCATACGACATTGTGCTACTGAAGTTTGGATAAAAATTTTATAATGTGAATTCTATTCTAAAAGCACTGATTCACTATTTAAAGGAAATAGACATTAAGTAGTCTGTTAAGGGAAAAAAAATCCTTCTATAATGTTGGTATTTGCTTTTTTAAAGTTTGGCTTTCCATGTATCCAGTTTTATCAAGATGTGAAACACATCTGCTAACAAAAGTCTTTTTTGACAAGTCTATGGAATGTAAGATCTTTGAGGATGGGGAACTTCATTTTTGCCTCTATATGGAGAGCCTAGAACTGCCTGACTCATACTAGGTACTTAACACTCATTTAATTAAATTGTTAATAGTTTGCTATTTAAAATATATTGCCAACTTACTTCCAAGAGGGCCCAAGATGGTTTCCAAATTAACACAACACAAAAATAATATCTAGAAATAAAACAGAAGACCATCCAAAATAAACAGCTGCAGAGGTTATCAATTACCTGGGTTGAGCTAATTACTGGATTTAACTCTTAAGTTTTCCAGAAGATAAGACAAAAAGTGAAATTTCTTTTTCTGACAATGCAGCAGTTTTCTCAAAAACTTTTCCTAGTGCTGAATAATGCAGTTTATCATGATGGTTCTACAAGAACTATGAATGGACAATACCCCTAACTAGTTTTTCACAAGAGTGAACAGAATTCTCATACTGACTCTTTCAAAAGGCCTAACTCAGTAAAACCATTGCTACATGGGATTGGGTTGATACAGCCAAGCATGTTACTTTCTGAGAAAAAAACTTAACTCAAGGATATAATATGCCTGGAGAAATAACACATTTCTAGAGCTCTAAGATTTGCAAAACACTTTTCTTGTCTGTCATCACCCAACAAGGCAGATACTGGAAGTATTACCCCTATTTTACAGCCAAGGAAAATGAAGCAAAGGGAAGTTAAATGATGTTACAAAGGTTACACGAGGAAATCATTGAGGATATGAATGGAGGTTTTCCTGACTCCAAGTCCACCACGCTTTTTACTAATGACGTTCCCTTCAGAGTACCACACAAGCTACACAGTAAGCAACTAGAAGTCCAAATCCTTCCCTGATAGCTACTCCCAATGCCTCCCATTAGACCTAGTGTGATCTGTTAAAATCCAGGTTCTCAGATGTTGTTTCCAAAAGGATCTATATTTAAGTTATGGGAGGTTTTTAACAAATACAAATCAGTTAGTGTCTTGATAGCTCCATGCCTTAAAAACTTGTTAATTTGACAAATAATGTCATGTTTAAAAAACAAGGAGCAGTGCAGGCTCTCTCAGAATTCACTCTCTCCTCACATATCCTCCTTAAGGAAAGGATAGTTTCAAGGATTACCTCAGGTGCTACTTCCTCCTCCAAGTCCTTCCAATTCTCCTTCAATTAATGGACTTCTGAAAATTTCCAAAGGCCAAGTCTAGGGCCATATACATGGTAGGTGCTTAATAGTTTTTTTTTTCAATTTTAAAATTTGAATTATGATATGCTTCTGCTCGAGGCTTTTGTGTAGACAAGGATCTTACTCATCAGAAAAAAAATTGATTTAAAAAAAATGCAACAAATGTAGAAAAAACTTTCAGCCAGTGCTTTACCCTCATTCATCAAATGTGGCCTAGAAGAGCAATTCTGTTGGGCTCATAGAGGTTAGCGTGGAAAAAAAATCATTTATATGTTGTTCCTTCATTTTAGTTTCTTGCATTTCAGCTCTCAGTGAAATACTCTGTAAAGAACACTTGATAAAAGCTAAAGCGACTGTAATGAAAAATGTGATTCCTTAGAGTTAATAGTGTTATTCATCTCGTCATTTAGATGGTATGTTCTCTGAATTAAAAATTGGGACAAGGTGTTCTGACAAACAACACTATTTGGCAAAGCCTCAGATCTCTCCCTCCTTTATTTCTTAGAGTAACCTTGGGTCTTCCCCCTTTCAAGTCTCACTCTCTTGAAGAAGTTATTTAATGCACATATCTCACCTCCCATAGACTAAAAACTACTAGAGAACAAGAATCTGTTACAGGTACAGCACCTAGTTGTGTCTTGAACTTATTAGGTCCTTTCTCAGTGTTTTCCAATGAACTTATTTCCTTAAAACCAGACTGACTTGAAAAACATGGGACATATCACTGTAGAGATAGGTATCAAAGATGGCATAAATTTTCTTATTAGCCCAATTAAAGACTATTAAGATAGACCAATAAAATACTTTGAGAATTTTAACATCTCATTTTCCCTTCAACAAAAAAAATAAAATAAAAGCAGCTCAGGTTGACCATAAAACTTTTTCCACATATTATTTTGGCTCAATTAGTACCCTGGACTTCTTATGGTAGCTTCCATCTCCTACAAAGTCCCTCTCTTCATGAGTCCGCTGCTGCCCACACCCTCATTCACCCCACCCAAAACATTCTTTCCTGCTCCTCAGTCTTCATGGCATTTTTTCCTAGTCTTCTCCTTTGTCCCATCACAATAATAGCATTGCAGACTTGAGCTGGTTGTTCAAAAATCATTTATTTCTGCCCCCTTGTTTCACAGACAAGGAAATAGCTCAGAGGTAATGGCTCATCCAGGTGGTAGTGAGCATAGCATGATTTTGAACCCAAGTGTTCTCCATCTTTCCAATAAATCATGGTACCCTGGATTTGACCTTAATATGTTCCGCTCTGTTCGTAATTTCCTATTCATCCCACGCACAGCTTATTTATCTGCTTGTCTCCTCCTTCTTGTTGCATATCCCATCCCCCACAGAGTATTAACTCTGTAAGGGCAACGGACACGCCCTTTCTCCATCTTTTCATCCCTGGCTCAGGGCCTTGGGTTAACAGTCTGCACTCAATAACAGTATTAATAACTGACACTTATATAGCGCTTGAAGGCATACAAAGCGCTTTACATACTTTATTACATATAAACATTTGCAGAAGTGACTCTTTGAATCCCTGCTGCTTTCCCTACAAATTAATTAAAGTCCAACATTTTGAAGACAAAATAAGCAAGAAAGCAGAGGAGAATAAGTAAGCAAGAGGAGGGACAAACATAAGGAGGCAAGAGCCCAAGCAGAACCGTGGGGAGACGGAAAGAAAGCCCCAGAGTTTAGGTTGTTTTTTTGCTTTTTAAGGACTAAGTCTAAACGAGGTTTTGAAGCCTGTGGGCAAAGATGTAGAAGTTAAAGCCTAGCTCTTTTGAAACAAGATACGTAGAACGCCCGACGACACCCCAGGGATTGAAAAGAAGTGGCCCGCGGGCTCCACAAATACTACAGGGCAGGCTCATAGCCCCGCCCCTTCCTGTTTCCCTGGCCCCGCCCCTCCAAGTCACCCAGAAAAATGCCTGCCGAGAAGCTTAACTTTATTCCGAAGCTCCACAAGGCTTTCCTCTTGTGACTGACAACTACTGCGAGGATGAGACGCGGGAGGAACGTGAAGGTGTATAGGGTGTGGTGGGGAACGTATGCTGCGCAGATCTCTCGAGGTATCCAATCAGGCATTGCTTAAGCCACCTAAAGATCCCTGCCTCTGAGTGAACGGGAAGGAGCCGGGGGTAGGGTGGGGCTTGTTTCTGAATGCGGCGCGTTGATTGGCTAAGCGGATGGCCCCGGCCGGCGAAGGGCCGGACGTGCTGGGGTCGTCGCGTTGGCAGCCGGGGATCCTCGAAGGCTCCGGGGGCCCTGGGAAGCCTCTCAGAGGCGCGGGCGGATGGCGCAAGCATGGGCAGGCTTCTCCGAGGAGGAGCTGTGGAGGTTGCGGCAGAACAAAGGTAACGAGCTGGGAGGTGGCTCAGTCCCTTCAGCCCTGGAGGGTAGTAGGGGGCAGGCTTGGGAACGGGCCCGGGGAGGAGGGTGAGCGACCGTTTCCGGCCGAGTCCGCCCTGCAGACATTTATTAAGTTCCTGCTGTGTGCCAGGCACAGCAAGAGGTACACTATGTGGATAGATAGAGCAGGAGGCGCTTAGCATACATGGCAAAAGCTAAACAGTCCTGCCCTCAGGCAGCTTACTATCAAATGAAAATTGTACAAGTGTAAATAAAAAAGTATTTGTGAAATAAACAAATAATGGGGGAGGGGAGCTTAACAGAAATTCCTCGTGACGTTTCAGCTGAGCTTTGAAGGAAGCCAGGGTCAGTGGGTCAATGAGCTCTTACAGTATGCCAGCCACAGTGGAAGGTATGATAGGTAGACAGCTTTTATTAAACATTTGCTGGAATCACAGAGCATGCAAAGGGAACAGCTAAACATTCCCTGCCCCCAAGAAACTTGCTATCAAATGAAAGTATGTGCACGTATAAATAAAAAGTATATTTGAATTAAGTACAAATGGAGAGGAGGGCGTATCAAAAATCCCTAGTGACATTAATTAGGATTTGTCGGTCAGTAAGACTGTATTAAGTGCCTACCATCCAGGCATTAGAAAGAATGGCAAAATGTCCCTGCCCTCAGTGTGCTCACAGTCTAATGGGGGATGCGCAAACAAAACAACTGAGTATAAATAAAATATATACAGATAAATTGGAAATAATCTTAGAGGACAGTAACTAGAATTAAAGGGATCAGGAAAGGCTTCCTGTAAAAAGTGGGATTTTAACTGGGACTTAAGGGAAGCCAAGGAGAGAGCATTCCAGGCCAGGGGGCTAGCCAGTGGCAGTGCCATAAGTGGGGAGGTGGAGTGACCAGTTTGAGGAACAGCAGGGAGGCTGGAGTAACCATGTGGAAGGAAGGAAGGAAGGTAGAAAGGTTTATAGAATTGAATTGAAAAAAGACTAGAAAACGTGGGTGGGTGGGTGGGATGGGGGGGGAAACAGATTATAAAGGGATTTTAATTCCAGAGAATTTTATATTTAATCCTGAAGGTCCTAGGGAGCCACTGGAGTTTATTGAATAAGAGATGTCATGGTCAGACCTACATCTTCCTAAGATCAGTTTGTGTGGACTGGATTGGAGAGATATTTGGAGGTAAAGAGAGAATGCATTCTCTCTCTTTGGGGAATGTGGGGCGGGAGTGCTCAAAGGCACCAGGGTGGAATGTTGTGGGTGGGGAACAAGTAGGCAGGTTTAAGTGGAATAGGAGAGTGTGTGAAGCGAATCAGTCTGTCAGTCTGTCTATCAGCATTAAGTGCCTACTATTTGCTAGGCAGATGTGCCCTGTGGTGAAAGGCAGAAGACAGAGCTTGTTCTTGAGGAGATCATGCTCTAATGGAGGTGACAACAAGCAAGGGAATATATACAAATAAGCTATACAGGGGGCAAATAGAAAATAATTAACAGAAGAAAGGCACTGGCCTTGTGATCAATTGGGAAACCAGATGAAGAGGAAGAGCATTCCAGGCATGGGACACAGCCAAAGAAAATGCCTGGAGCAGAGAGGTACAAGTCAGTGTCTTGTTAGTGGAATAACAAGGAGGCCGGTGTGGCTGGATTGAGGAGCATGTGGTAATAGTGGAAGGGTGGAAGGCACTAGGTTATGAATGTCTTTGAGTGTCAAACAGGATTTTGTATTTAATCCCATAGGTTGTATGGAGTGTATTGAGTAGAAGAGCAACATGGTTACATGGTGTAATGATCATGTAAAGGTAGTCTGGATTCAGATTGAAGGGCATTCCATTAAAGAAAAGTACAGTCGAAAATGTGGTTTGGAATCAAGAAACAAAAAAGGTCATAGCATAGGTAACTCAGCAGCAGCATGCCAGTATGTCATTTTCTTGTCTTTCTGAGTTGGCATGCACAGCACACAAGTACAAAATTACATCATAAAAAATGCTTACCAAGCAGATGTTTGTATTTTGACTTAGAAGTCATTGGGAGTTATTAGGCCTTGTTGAGTAGAGGAGTGACATGGTCAGACCTCTGTTTTAGGAATATCACATAGACCATTTTATGCAAGATGGTGAGGGAGAAGGTAAGAAGCAAGGAGACCGATCAGGATGCCAGTCACTAGGGGAGAGGTGATGTGGTGTTGAGTTCAAATGATGGCTCTGTGAACGGAGAAAAGATGGCAGATAAGGTGTAGCAGTACAGTCAACAAAACCTGACAACTGATTGGTCATAACCCCAGGGTTGTAAACCTGGAGTGACTGAAAGGATACTAGTACCCTCAGTGGAAATAGAGAAGTTAAGGAGAGGAGAAAATTTGGGGATGATTGTCAATAACAGCATATATCTGTCACAGGTCTATGCGTCTCGAAGTTTTAGGTCCCAAAGTGGGGAGGAAAGGGAGGAACTAGACATATTTTTAATTTTTGCCTTTAATAGAGTTTGTGGGAGAACTGTATGAACCTTAGGTAAATGCCTCTGATTTTAGTTTAGAGAGATGGAAAATAGAAAGGAGTGGTAGTCACACTAATTAGATGAGGTAGAATGAATGTGGAATATATGAACTAGTTAAAATTTTGCCTGTTTCATGGAGCTTGTATGTGTGTGTCAAAATAATATATTTGCAGACCTTAAAGCATTGTGTAAAATGTTAGCTATTAGTGTTATGTATGTTCTGTGTAAATGTATATAAATTCATTTTTAATGATACTATTTTTGCACTTGTATTTTTATACTAGTACCCTCTAACTCTCTTTAAAGAAAGAAAAAAAAATGATTATACTGTTATGGTTCTTCTGAGAAGCCTACAAGCCATGGCCTCTCTCAGAGCTTCAGTTCTCATATTTACTAGAGTGCTTTTCTAAATATTGAATTTACTGTTTTCTCCATTTCTGCTGTCACACTTAATGTCAAGTATCAACATGTCTGTTGATTTTGTTTGGATGATCTTGTCAACAGTCTCTGTAGAATTTCTCTTTTTCATTCAATGCAAAGATCATGACATCCCAATCAGATACAACTAGGATGATATTATTAGGGCTTGCCTGGTCATTAAGTGAGGTTGGCTTTTGACCATAGGGTCCCTTGAAACCATCTTCTAAAGCCCAGGGTGTTTGTAGTTGTCTTTAGTGGGGTGATTGTTCACAGAGATGAAATGAAGTGTGGTTTACAGCTAATCTGCATGTGGTTAAATTTCAGAATTGGCTATATGGGGAATTTTTATTGAGCACCAAAAGTGGGGCGTGAGTATTGTTTAAGTCAGAACCAGAAAATTATTTTTACAACTGTGTATGCAATATAAAAGATTAAAAAATAGAGATCTAAAATTTGGTTTCTATTGAAGTTAATGTGTCGCCTTTTTTTTAGTAGAAAGTAATTTACAATCTGCTGCTCTCAAATGTAATTTTTTTCCTTTTATTATACATAGATCCGTTAGAGCCCACTGATCGGCAAAAGCGTCACCCCCTGAACAAAAGTCGACAACAGCTGCAACGTGAAAAGGCCCTTCAGCAGAGAAGCCAGAAGCTCGGACTTCAGCGTGGTGCTCCGTCAGAACCTCGAGAGCAGTTGCTTTCTGCCCCAAAACAGAAAGCTGACTCTCAGCCGCATCACCCATCTCCTGCTCTTGTCATCACCCCTGGTGATAATGAAAAGCATCAGAGCATTGGAAATCAACAGAAAAAAGCAGGACTTGAGAATTCCTATAATAATGCCGATGAAAAAGATGAGGCCGTTACTCCGAAACCAAACTGTGAATTGGAAAAAAAGAAAGTGAAGGTGTTAGTAAATCTATATAACCATGAAAATGACTCCGTTTGTTCTCTCTGTCCTTTTCTTTATCGTTGGCTGCTAAAGAAATCGAAGCTCAGGGTCTTATATGTTATAATGTGTTCTGACCTAGAAATGTAATGGGAAGGAGAAATTGTTCTTAGAACTTGCAGAGCCCTACCACTGAGAAATTTGCATGTCAGCTTCCGGACCTATGTAAAACCGCTCAATCTTTAGCTTTCAGAATGGGCTTGCCTGTGTGGGGAAGGATGCTGTGGGCAGTAGAAAAGGTGTAGGAAAGGAGAAAGCCCAGGGAGGAGGTGGACAGACACTGGTGATACATTTCAAGTGTACTTGAAATACGGTCTCTGGGACTAAAGCAGCTGGTTTAGCATGAATGCCTAAGACCTATAGAACTTGCTATTCTTTGACTTAAGTAAGGCTTCTGATCATCTGGACTCTGTACTTTATTCCACATTCACTACTTTTGTTTCTTATCTCTTTTAATTTATGACTCCCTGGGGAGATGGGATGCCATCCATTTTTGTGTCTCATTCTCTCCAGATCTCTTTCCAGATTATTATATTTATCTGATCTCTTCCTGAGACTTGTTCCTATTATGTAAAAATTCTTTACTAAGTGCCTCTTTGCTGGTTGTACTGAATATGAAACTAAGTGAGTTAAATGTTTCTTGTCTTCTAAGAGCTGATTATTATACTCTTAAGAATTTGAGGGACCCATAGAGCTCATCTCATCTAACTGCTAGGTAAAGCATGCCTCTGCCCTGTAATATCCTCAACAGGTGCTGATCCAGGAGCCTACCCATAAAGATGGCCAGGCACAGGGAATTTGCTATCTTCCAAGGTAGCCCAATCCATTTTTGAATAGCTTGAATCGTTAGTTTAAAAATAAGTTCTATTGATGTCTTTTTGTTTTGTATCAGTCATTTGTGGGCATAATTATCCACCCCAGAATAGGATCATTCTTTGTCATGAATGTAGGTAAGTAAAAATAGGCAAATGGTGATTATGCTTGCTGAAGTATGTAACATGATCACTACCCTAAGTCTGGCCTTCGTCCCCTGGACGATTAGAATTGTCTCCTGATTGGTCGGTCGGTCTGTTTTTTGTTGTTTTTTTTTTTAGTCTATCTTTTCTCCAGTTGGACTTCCCTATAGGTGCCAAAACAACCTTCCTAAGGCACAGGTCTGACCATGTATGTCACTGCCCAGCTTGAAAACCTTCAGGATTTTTGTCTCACCTCCAGGCCTCTGCACCTGGATACAAGCCTTTCTGGCCTTCTCTCATAGTACTCCCTTTTACACAGGAACTTTTTCCCAGCCAAACTAGACTGCTGGTTGTTCTCTGAATTTTAAATTCTGTCTCCTGCCTCCGCAGATTTGTTTTAGTGGTCATCCTTTCCTGAATGCGTGATATCTTCATCTTCACTAAGAATCTTGATGTTCCTTCAAGTCTTAGCTCAGGTACCACCTTCCTTTGAAGCTTTCCTGATGTCATCTCTCCCCAATCCTATCTTTTTGTAATGCTCTCCTTTTCCTCTGTTAACCTTGCCTTGACTTGCCTGTTTACATGTTCTATCCCTTTAATAGAAGATAAGCTCTTTGAGAGCATATTTCATTTTTTATCTTTATATCCCTAACATTTTGTACATATTAAGTACTTAATGAATATAAATTTAATTACCCTCCAGCAAGGGCTCTGAGGATAGATATGGTATGGTCAGAGTAATAATAAGTAGAGGAGGAAACCATGGTATCAGTGTTGAAATCCGCTTATGGAAAGCTGGGACTTGGGATGGAAGCAGGGAGTCTGGCTCTAAGTGAGAAATTATCTTCATCTATACCTAACCATATCATCGTTGTAGGTTTGGAGAGGAAAGCATAACTTTGAAAGTTGTTCAGATATACTAGGTCTGGGAAACTAAATACTTGGGAGGTGAAAACCATTTCTGGGTTTCTTGCCTGGAAAGTTTATGTGATGGTGTACATTTTAATAACGAAACTGGGCACAAGAGAGAGTTTTGGGTGGAATTTTTTAAAAACCTAGCTCTTGTCTTTGCTATAGGTTCTTTATTCAGGTGATTAATAAGAATGTTAGTCTGCAAAGGACAGATCGCTGAGGCATTCCAGTATATACCCCCGGCCACCTTTATGCTAACTCACTAACGGTACAACCATTCAGTCAGTTAAATTTCATCTTGTGTTATTGTCTGATCCAACCTCTATCTTCTCCAGAATAAGAACAATCTACTCGATCAGAAGTTTTGCTAAGATATAGGTAACCTATATAACATTCTCCTCTATCAATTTAGCAAACTTGTTAGGAAGGAGAAGAGGCTGGTCTGGCAACACCGAGTCTAGATGTCGCCACACTGGCTCTTTAGGATCACGTTTCTTGTTCTGAATGATCACTGACCAATCACTGCTTAATGAATATTAAGGTGGCCAGAATCCTCTGATCAGGGCCGTATATAATAGTTGAAAAAGCATAGTGAGAAGCATCATCTTCAAGTCATTTTATTGGATTCCTTTTTTACCAGTAATTTAATGCCGTATATTAGTGCCCCATATTTAGTGCCGAAATGAGCCACCATACCCTAGCATCAGTCGCTTGTTCCTAGATTACACATGTGTAAGGGGTTTAATGGCCCAATTTATTTAGATCTTTACTTCTGATTAGCCTCTTTATTACTGTTAGAATAAGATAACTAGCTATAGATGTATTCTTAAAAACTCTTAATGGGGGACTCTTAAAGGGACATTTACCGTCTGACCCATTTATTGCTTTTGGAGGAGGAAAGGAATTTGGGAGATGGGACTCTTTTATTTAAACTCATTTTTATTCTTGGTTACTGACCAGGCAGGAAAAATCTCATTGGGAAGTCCTCCAGGAAGAACAACGACTAATGGAAGAGAAAAATAAACGGAAAAAAGCATTGTTGGCCAAAGCTATTGCAGAAAGGTAAGAAATGTACTAAGGAATGATATTTGTAACCGTGTAGACCCTTTCAGTGAATTTCTTGTCTGTTTTACTTACTGTACTTTCTTAACAACTGTCACTTTAGGGTCCAGCAGTGTTATTAATATTTCTGTTTTATGATAATAACCACTTGCATCCTGGATAGAGGTCTATCTCTGACGCATTCTCACTTGCTAACTATAACAATGAGCAAATCGTTTAACCTCTATTCTCCAGGCAACTCCCTGGGATTTAGTTGTGAGACTCTATCCAGTGAGATAATGTTGCAACACACTTTGCAAACTTTAAAGCACTTCATTAAGGCTTTATTTCAGTCATCATTTAAAAAAGAAATTAATTCAAACTATTCATTGGAAGGATAAATACTGAAGCCGAAGCTTAAATGCTTTGGCCACATCATGAGAAGATGGAGACTCATTGGAAAAGACTGTGATGTTGGGAAGGATTGAAGGCAAAAGGAGAAAGGAGCGGCCGAGGGTGAGGTGAATTGTAAGTGTCATGGAAGCATTGAACATGAGCTTGGAAAGACTTTGGGTAGAGTGGAGGATAGAAGGGCCTGAGATGCTGTGGTCCTCAGGGGTTCTGAAGAGACAGATGTGACTGAAGGACTGAACAATAACAGATGAGTTTTATTAAGTAGCCAATTTGCATTGGTGGAGAAGTTTCTACCCAAGGGGTTCCCTCCATTAATGGCATGTCAGGTCTGAGCCCAAACCACCACTGCTGCCAGATTCTTGCCTTGAGAGCTTGCCAGGCGTAGATGAAGCCGGACCTGTGATGACTAGAAGCAAGGAAGAAGATTAGGACTTGAGAGTAATGGGTTTATTCACTTTCATATTCATTTGCATGAAATGTCTCCTATTGTGAAAGTCAGAAGTGAACATCCTAGTCAGCTGCACATTACAAACAGACCTGATGTGGTTAGCATCCTAGTTCTCCAGAATCAAAACTTTTATCACATCAGTTGTTAGAGATATTTCTAAAATGTATTACGTGATCAGAGAGATGCAAATTAAAACAACTTTTAGGTATCACATCCATAAAATTGGAAAATATAATTAAGAAGCAATAAAACATTGCTGGTTGGTTGTAGAGGAACTTCCTAGATTACACATGTGTAAGGGGTTTAATGGCCCAGTTTATTTAGATCTTTACTTCTGATTAGCCTCTTTATTACTGTTAGAATAAGATAACTAGCTATAAATGTATTCTTAAAAACTCTTAATGGGGGACTCTTAAAGGGACATTTACCTGACCCATTTATTGCTTTTGGAGGAGGAAAGGAATTTGGGAGATGGGACTCTTTTATTTAAACTCATTTTTATTCTTGGTTACTGACCAGGCAGGAAAAATCTCATTGGGAAGTCCTCCAGGAAGAGGTGGGATTGTATATTTATAGTATCTTTGGAGAGTAATCTGGCAGGATGCAGTGAAAGTTAATGCATCATATACTTTGACACACTAGTTTCTTTGGGGGTGGGGGTGGGGGTGGGGTGGCGTAGAAACATATCCTAAAAGAATCAGGGGAAAACAACCAAAAAAGAGCTAGCTACTTAAAGGTGAACGTGGTGACATTTTTGTAGTTCTGAAAAAATGGAAGCAACGTAAATGTCCCATAGAAGGGGAATGGTTAAATGAATTATGATTCATCAATGTAATGACATACTCTAATGCAATTAAGACCAAGAATGAGGAGTATAAAGAAACCTGCAAAGACCTTTGTAAAACAATGCAAGTGAAAAGAATAGAATCAGAAGGAGAAAGTGCCCTTTAACTCTGATAGCAGAGAAGGAACCGTGAATGAAGGCAGACAAGCAGAGTCCTGATGAAGACCTAGAAGGGACAAAAACCATACTTTATGTGGAAATCAATTTAACTTAAATATAAATAGTTAAAAGCAAGTTTATTGGGTTGCTTTGATGTTCATTATTTAGTTCACGATAAATCATTTAACTGTAAAAAGTACTGTACAATTCCAAGGATACTAATTATAATTTAAATTTTTCATGATGGCTTGGGATCATCCTGACGATGCCCATTATTAGAGTATGTGCAAAGTGCAGCCCATTTCTTAGTTTTTCTGTGTCTTCCATCAGTGTCGGGGTGCTTTTTACTGCAGCTGATGCATGTGCCTCCTTCATCCTCACCACTCTTTCTGTTTTGCTGCTTCTGATCTGTGAGCTAGGTGACAAGCTAACTAAGCTTATTAAGATCTGTATTTGAATTAAGATGTGAGTGAGAATTTCAGAATTCAGAATCTTTTTTACTTTAGAATTCTGGCTGTGTGAGGTTGAGGTTAGAGGAAGTCTGATCTTCCAGACGAAGGCTCAAAACTGATTTCTGTTCTGCCAGTGGAAAATCTTTATCTTTTTGTAAAACATGAAGTTCTCTTTCAAGAAAAATGTCTATGTAAAAAGTGAAATGAGATAGAAATCATTATGTGTGTGGGTGTGTATTTTAAACTAGTGTTGAATTATATAAATGGAGAATATGAGTTTCATTAATTAGTAAATTAGGACAAAAGAATTTAGGTTGGAAATTAGGATAATCTTGACTGTAAGAATGAAAAAGTGAAATTGATCCGTTATATTACCTTGAGGAAATTAGGAGTTTCTCATGGAGGCTTTATGAAAAAGGAATGCACTTGCATGAGTATGCTATGCAGTTTGCTCTGAGTCTGTGATAATGACAGGAGAAAAGAGAACCTGCAGTATAGTGGAGAAGCCCCTGATGTATTTGTAGCCCGGAATGCTTTGTCCGAGTGCTGACTCTCGTTCCGCTTCCTACACTCATGTACTGTCCGACCTGACTCGGGTCTCTCCTTCTTCTTCTGTGAATCAGAGGTCGTAGGGCTTGCTCTCCCTGCCTCATCGCACCGAAAGCATAGCACAGATGTGTTTTGCTATGTTATTGTGAGTATGTTATCCAAAATTAGCTTTCTGTTTCCCATTTCCTAGATCTAAAAGGACGCAGGCAGAAACCATGAAACTGCAGCGCATCCAGAAGGAGTTACAGGCTTTAGATGACATGGTGTCAGCTGACATTGGAATCTTACGAAATCGAATTGATCAGGCAAGCTTGGACTATTCCTATGCTCGGTAAGCACGAACTATGGGGAAAATTGTACTCTGGGAAAGAAAAAAAAAAGCATTGAAAACAGATATTTTTATTAATGGAACTGATCCCTGTGTGATTTTGTTTTTTTGTTTTTTTGTTTTTTTTTTTTTAAGGCAGTCAGGGTTAAGTGACTTGCCCAGAGTCGCATAGCTAATAAATGTTTGAGGCTGGTTTTGAACTCAAGTCCCCCTGACTCCAGAGCTGGTTCTCTATGCGTTGCACCTCTTAGCTGCCCTACCTCCACCCCTTTTTTGGGGGGGGGGGATTAAGAATAGAAGGGTACTCTCATTTTTTTAATATGCATTTTTCCTTAAAGTATTTGTATTCCTATCTTGGAAACTTGAAACTGAAACATTTCCTTCTAGAACAGTTTTATTCTTTCCTTCCCAGTCTATACTGCACAAATTGTTTTGATATCATCATGTTCCCTGGTTTCAGCTATTGGTTGTTTTTTTTTTTTGTTTTGTTTTGTCTTTTAAAGAAAGAAAATATTGTGGCATAATTATAAAATGAACATAACACATGTAAAGAATTACACGGACTTTGCAAACAGATAAAAGAGTATAAAAATTAAATCCAATTTTGAGGGTCTTCCATTCCTTTCAGCATTGCTTTAATCATTCCGGCTTGTCTCTTTTCACAAGGGAGTTCTGTGTAAATGATTCGGTTGTGCATCATTCTCTGTAACACTAGAAATCAATCAGAATGCCTCATTAGTCCAGGGTAAACCACAGCATCAGAATGTTTATATAACAATTTAATAAAGCGGAAATGCTTGGTTGTGGTTTTCAATTCACTGTTCAGTGCTTAAGAAAGAGCCTTGTGGTTCTCCCTGTGACTTTTTTGTTTGCTTACTACATGCCATCAGATGTCATGAGTTGACTTTGTTAATTAACTTACTAAATGAATATCAGTAAGATAATAACTGGAGGTTTAAGATTCAGTTCAGCAAACATTTATTAAGCACCTACGCTGTGCTAGGCACTGAGAATACAAAGACAAGGAGCTTACAGTTATATAGGGAAAAACAACAGGAATACAGATAAATATAAAGAAGTTTCTTTGGGTGGAGGGGATCAGATTAGGCCTCGTGTAGGAATTGGCTCTTGAGCTAATTCATAAAGGATGTATGTACTGTGCCAGGAGGAGATGAAGAGGGAGTACGTGGAATACGTGAGGGTGGGAGACATCCTGTTCAAAGGCTTAGAGAGGGGAGATAGAGTATTATGTGTGAGGAGCTACAAAGAGGCCAGTTTGGCTGGAATGTAGAGCATGTGAAGAAGAAGAATATACAATAAGCTTGGAAAGATAAGTTGGAACCAATTTGTGAAGGACTTTAAACTCCATACAGAAATTTATATTTTATCCTAGAGGCAAGAGGAAGCTATTAAAACTTTGGAGGCATAGGAGTGATGTGATCAGATGGAACTTCAGGAATATTAATTTAGCAACTGTATAGGGCATGGACTGAAGAGAGGAGGTACTAAAGGCAAGAAGACCAGTTAGGAGATGATTCCAGTTGTCTAGATGAGGTGATGGCCTGAACTAGGGCTCTGTGAGTGGAGGAGAGCGCATAAATGCAAGAGATGTCGGAGTGGTAGAACTGAGCAGATGTAAAGGGGCCGCTGCTTAGAAACAGGGGAGAGGTGAATCCAAATGTCTCTGCTTGCAAAGTGATCACTGGAAAGGTGGTCATGTCTTCAGCCAAAATAGGGAAGCTAAGAAGAGGACAGGATTTGGGGAGAAAAGATAATGAGTTCTGCTTTAGCTATGTTGCGTTTTAGATGCCCACAAGCCATGTAGTTTGAAAAATGCAGTAGGCATTTGATGATAAAGGATGGGCTACACTTACTTTTTTTTTTTTTTTTTGGCTAGGCAGTGGGGTTAAGTGACTTGCCCAGGGTCACACAGCTAGTAAGTGTTACGTGTCTGAGGCCGGATTTGAACTCAGGTCCTCCTGAATCCAGGGCCGGTGCTCTATCCACTGTGCCACCTAGCTGCCCCAGGATGGGCTATACTTTCACAAGTCATCTGCTGGAAGGTGATAGTTGAACCCATGAGAAGTCACCAAAGACAGTGTGTGGAGAGAGAAGAGAGCCCTGGGGTGAATCCACAGCTAGGAGGAAGGACATGCATCATCTAGCAAAGAGGCCAGAAGAGACAGCCAGGCAGCCGGGGAGGCAGAGAACCATAAAATAAGCAACGTCACAAAAACCCAGGGAAATAAGAGAGGTGTGTGGGTGACACGCTTGGCAAACCTCACCATGCCTTATAAACATGAATCATGAATGTCATTATCAAGGAGGAGGAAGGGGCAGGTGCTTTAACTGAGAAGCATGAGGACTGAGAAGAGACTGTCATCTCAGGCAGTGAAGAGGTCACTGGTAGTCTCAGAGGAAGGGACTTCAGCTGGGCTGTGAGGCAGAACCTTTCAAGGAGTTGAGAAGTGAGGAGGGCTAAAGTGGTCCGTTGTGTGCTGATAGCTTCTTTCTGGGAGTTTGGCTGTGAAAAGGAGAAGAGAAAAATAGAGTGACAGCTTTAAGGGGTAGTAGTGTCAGTGTTTTTGTTTCTTTAAAGTGTGGAAGAACTTTATGTGTATTTGTAGGCAGAAGGGAAGGAGCCAGTAGATTGGAAGAAATTGAAAATTAAAGAAAGTGGGTGTTAGGGCAATCTTATAAAGAGGAGAGAGAGATGATGGGTATAGGTCATGAGTAGACGTATTGGCTGTGACAAATCTCTCTTAAAAGATCACAGAGAAGGAGGCCAATATTTGTTCATAGAGTAACCAGACCTTATCATTTTGTACTTTGAAGCTATTAAGTTTGCCAATTTCTTTGTATGAATTATAGCCTTTATTCGGGTATTTCAGTTTATTTATTCATTTGAGCTGGACCTGTGATTTCATTGACAGGAAATTCCCATGTAGCTGGCCTGCAGCCTAATAGTCTGGGACAGTTGTCTGGGGTCACTAAAAGGTTAAATGACTTGCCCAAGTTCACACAGTCTATAGTCTCAGAAGTGGGAATCGAATCCAGGGCTTCTTGACTCTGGGACTAGCTCTTTATACTCTGTGCTATGCTGCCTTTTAAAATAGTGATATATTCTTAGATGTAGTTATTTGCTGTATTACCAGAAAAACATTCTAAATTGTGCTTTAAGCCTTTCTTGTGAAAACTGCATATGAAAAGAGTGTCATGCATGCTTAACATTAACAATGTAAGAAATGGCATAGTTCTAGTCTTTGGGCAAACCACAGTGAAAGAGGGGCTTTGAGAGAAAGGGGATGGTATCCCCAGAAGTGTTCTTTGAAAAATATTACTAATTTCTGTATTACTAGTTTTACTTAATGAGTTAAAGATGTAGTTAATTTTGCATGGAATAAAATGCTGAAGACACAAAAGAGCGCTTCCTATTTAAGTGCCTGCTACTTGCAAGACATTGAGGGTGGTGGGGGTGGTAAACATTTATATGGTGCCTACATGCGCCAGGTGCTGGGCTAAGGGCTTTTTACAAATATTATCTCATTTGATGCAACAATCCTAGGAGGTAGATACTGTTGCTATCCCCATTTTACAGTTTAAGAAACTGAGGCAAATAAGTTAAGTGACTCATCCAATAAAGTGTGTGAACTTGGGTCTTTCTGACTCCAGGATTAGTGCTCTGTCCCTGTGCTATCTAGCTGAGAGGTGGAGGTGGGGAAGACGTATGAGAGGATGGAAGGAGAGGTTCATTTTACTTTGTGTTATTTTATTCATGTTTGTGATAAGTATGCAAGAGAAGTATAAATACACTGAAAATTCAGAGGAGGCAGTATTTGAACAGGTCTTTGAAGGATCCATTAGACTGTAAGAGGTATAGATTATGTAGGGGAGAGAGAGGGGACAGAATTCCAGGCCTGGGGGCCATCCAGTAAACATGGAGGCTTTAAAGTTTATGAGATACTTTGCATAGATTATCTCATTTGAGCTTCACAACTTTCCTATAAGGTGGTGTTATCTCCATTTTACAGATAAGAAAACTGAGGCTTAAAGAGATTAGTTGGCTTGACCAGGCTCACACAGCTAGCAAATGTTGGAGGCAGGATTTAGGTTTTCTTTTAATTAAATTTTTTTTTTCATTCAGGAAAAATCTACTTTCCTTCCACCCTCTCTCTTCACCTCACCTCCAGTTGAGGTGGGAAGAATCCATGTTATAAGCATGTATACTCAAGCAAAACAAATGTCCACGTTGGCCATTCCCCCTGTGCCTACCTTACCCCGAGTGTGTTTTCTTTTACACCAAGTCACCTCATCCTCAGGTTATGGGTGGCCTGTTTCAGGGTTAATTCTCCAGAATTATAGTTGTTTGTTGTGCTGACATGAGTTCCTAAGGTTTTCAAAGTTGTTTGGCTTTAAAGTATTGTCTTTGTGTAAATTATTCACCTGGTTCTGCTCACCTCACTTTTCCTCAGTTCATGCAAGTTTTCTCACGTTTCTTCGAAACCATCCCCTTGATCATTTTTTAAAGCTCATCAGTATTCCATCACATTCATATGCTGTAACTTGTTCAGCCATTTTCCTCTGTAGGATTAGACTCAGTTTTGCTGCATGAGTAAAGATATAGAGGAGGGTAAAGCTGCATCTGAATCTTGTTGGGAAGCAGAGAGAAAAGAAGAGAGAGTCTGGGCAGTGCTCTGCGTGTGGGAAGAGAGAGTGAGACACACACACAGGTGCACACACACACACACACACACACACACACACACAGTGGGTGTGGAGAGAAAGTGCTTGGGGCCGATTGCTAGCAGAGGGCTACGTTTCTATGACCCCTAAAACACCTGCCCAATAAGGAGGCAGGAGCAGGAGCTAGGGGGAAAGGGAGAGTTGCTGCTTCTTGGGACTGAAGTTCGTATCCACTTGTGTACCTTTTCTGCACAATACCTACAAGTAATGATCTTGGTAGAGGGAAAGATGGAATGAAATACCTTTGTGAGCCCTTTCCTGGGGCAGATGTGGGCTTGGATCGTTACCTGGTAAAAGAGAAGATCAGGAGGATTAGCTGTTTTTCATTCTTATGCATTAGTTATTTTTCTGAAGGAGCTCTCTGTTTGGATACTTGGTTATATGTTTACCCTGATTATGAATGTTCTCTTCACCAAGTACAAGAATTTTGGGGGTGTTTTCTGTGGGACTGTGTAGCCCCCAAGCATCCTCTGCCCCTACTTCCCTACAAGTCTGTAGCGTTCCCTCAGCCAAAGGCAATCTGTAGAGCTTTGCTAGCTGTGCTTGTATGTTCCCAAATAGCTCTTACTCTGTAGGTGAATCACTGAAGTGTTTGCATTCAGTTTATTTTAAAGTCAGACACATATGTTTTTATTCAGAGTTATCTCTTTATCAATAACATCATTAATTTCTGTATCAAAATATCAATTAACATCACAGTATTATTTTGCTAATCTTGGGGTCAGCTAAGTAATACCAAAGCAGTGTAATGGTTTACTCCGGAGGAGAGGAGTACAAGCAGTATATAAAACGTAGTGAATAAAATTGAACTGAGGATATAATTATTAAATTAGTTTATCATTTTCAGAAATGGGCTATGAAACCATTGAAGAGCATTAATTACTTTTAAAAATTAATTCTAGAAGTTGCAGCATGATTTTAGTGTCCATATATGGAGGTGGAGGGTTTTGTGGTTTTTATTTTTAGTAATCATTTCATTTAATACGTTTTACGTGCAGGATTCATAAATTTTATATGATGGCTCCATGTATCATCATCGACTAGAAATGACATTGGAGTCAGAAAATCTGCCTACGTTTGAGTCCCAGTTCTACCACTAACATGGCCAGTACCTCTGAACATAATTTGCTTGTGTCTTGATTTCCTCAACTATTAAAAAAAATGGATACAGTAGTGCATCTGATACTTAAGTCATGGAAAAGTTATTAGGAAAAGTGAGATAAGATTCGTTTTTATGTTTATTTCTTTTGAGGTGAAAGACAAGGTAATAAATAGTATGAAAGTATATTAGCTCTGCCTATTAATTTTTTGGAAATTTTAGACTGTTTAAAAAAAATGTGTTGGTCTCTCTGAAATTTTCCTAGGCTGGTCTTATTTCTACTTCTTCTTTCCCCATATCTTTCTATCTCTCCTGTCTCCTCACTTGAACCTCTCCGTATTCTCTGTGACCTCTGGCCCTTATTAAAACCCTTTCTAATCTAGATACAGACATCTGCTCTTTTCATGTTTTTTGTTTGCCCTTCGTGAATAATCCCCTGCACCTACATTCAGGAACCCTGAAAACATCTTTACAAAAGGCAGTGAGAACAGAGAAATGCTGTCACAATACCAACAGAAGGTGGAGGTACAGAAAGATTCCAGTATTGATATATTAATCCTGGTGCTTTCAGCGACTCACAGACCCATTCGTCTACCATTTGGTTCCCCCCCTCACTTCTAGGCGAAGTAGCCCTAATCTGTGTGGCAGTTCATTCTCATCCCGTTTTGAGTTGATTGTGGCATCATAAGCTCATCTTTGTCCATGTGCTCGCAGGAAACGCTTTGACAAGGCAGAAAGCGAGTATGTGGCTGCCAAGCTGGACCTGCAGCGGAAGACGGAGATCAAGGAGCACCTCACGGAGCACCTCTGCACCATCATCCAGCAGAACGAGCTGCGCAAGGCCCGCAAGCTGGAGGCGCTGATGCAGCAGCTGGAAGTGGAAGCTGACGAGGAGAGTCTGGAGCTGGAGATCGAGGTGGAGAAGCTGCTGCAGCAGCAGGAGGAAGAAGGAAGGAGAAAAACGGCCCTTTCTGAGGAGGTGCCGCAGCCGTCTGCCAACGGCGTCACTCTAGTAATGGCGGCCGAGGGGAGTGGGGATCCAGAAGCCGTTGTTGGGCCACAGGATACGAAGGCGGAGACCAGGGCCTGTCCAAATCCTGGCAGTTCCGAGCAGGAGGGGCCCGCCGATCAGGCCACCTGAAGGGCCAGCGTCCGTGCTGTCCGGAAGAGAGTCTGTGATGGGCTGCCGTGCTTTCTGCCATCGGGTGTGCCCTGGCTCGGTGAAATTCGTAGCGAAAGCCATCTTTATATTAATTTTGAGTCCCATTTGTGAAGTGCCAAATAACAGTTGCATTTTTATTGTAAAGCATGAGTCCGGGGCGTATGCTCAGCCCTGAGGTTAGTCAACTTCAGTCTGCTTTATGCTTCCACTGCTCTTCTGCCCTCAGGACCTGACCACCAGAGGCCATGCGGTGGAGCGGCTTAGCTGCTGGGCTCGGGTCTTCCAGGGACCATGTTTGCTCACCTTCATCTAGGCCGTTTTCTGCAGATGCTCACCCTCCCTCACCCCACCTCTGATTTTCACTTCTTTGTCAGAGAATTATAATCAAAACACTCCATTGGTGTACCTGAGGTATATTACTGAGCTGCTCTGTTGTTCCACTGACTGTCCTTGTGATTTCGCTGAACAGAACGGCTTTCCGAGGCCCCCACTCCCCAATATATGTTGTTTCCCACGTTAAAATAGAAACTCTGAGCCTTTCACCAGAATCTTTGGCAATATTGTAAGTGCTTTTCATTCATTCATCATTCACTTCCTTCACCATCTCATTTCAGAAGGCCAGTTTGAAGAAAAGCTATGCTACTAGAATTTTAACTTTCCTTTTTTTAAAATCATTTTTCTGATGCTCATTTAAAAAAAAAAAAAAACTAGAAATAATTTTCAATGTAGTACCTTACCTGAACTGTATTAAATTTTGCTGGGAAAATTTGGTAGTTCTTTGACGTAGGGTTTTCATTTGTTTGGGAGGGAGTGATATGTTAGGAAAGCATCTGTTTCTCTTTTTTACTATTGTGTAAGATGGTGATGGCTTCCGTCTTCTAAATAGGCTCATTGTTGAATGCCTCATCTGGACTATAGCAAATTTGTTCAACACTCCTCAAGAGGTGCATATTTGAGCTATTATACCGTTGACTTGCATTCATTTTATAAATCACAATGGATAGATCACATGAGTCTAGGGCATTGGGGTGTTGCCCCATCAAACTGTTTGAAGACTTTTGGGACAAGTGCTGTATACAAAGCAGTGGGTTTCTGCTGTTAATGTTAACATTGCTTCAGTGCTGCTGGTTGTCTAAATTTAGAAGAAAACTTAGCTGTCTGAAGAGTGAAAATGTCATATAATAAGGTGTATCAGGGAATAATTCAGTGAGTCATTGCTGTTTGTGGTCAAAAAAGCTTTGGTATTTTTTTTTCTCAATTTGTTTTGTGTGTTGGGAGTATATGAACCTACATAACAAAATAAATTTTTAAACACTATAGCTAATATCAACTTGCCATTACTTTAATAACTTTTCCATTACTTACTGCCATTTGCTTGGGTAATGTGGTTTACTCTATAAACTCTTGTGTAAACTAAGTGCTATAGTCTCCTCAGAAAACGTGTGGAGGAGTTTTATATTAAGTTATGATGTGTATGTCACATACCCTAAGAAGTGTAAGGATTTCTAAACTAAAGTCATTTCAGATAGGGAAAGGAAATGTGCAATAATAACTTCTCAGAAAAACTTAGGAACATCTTATAATGTATGAACTTATGGATTGGACTGTAGCTTCACTGTCATTTTCTACTGTGTATATAGCTATATATTTGTATATTATGCAGTATGATTGGAATATAACTGAATATCGTTACTGTCATCTTCAAAATCGCAAACGTTGGTAAAAAAAATTGCATTTAAAATTATGAATTGTATACATGAAATTGAAACCTTCAGCATCCGAGTTCATCTTATTTTTCTAAAAAATAAACAAATCAAGTGAATTTATTCTATTATTTCTCGTCTACATTGGAAAGCTTCTTTGCAAACATGTGTCATGTAAGTAACTTGTAAGGAGCATGCTGCCACACTCCCTTCCCTTGATGTGTGACACGTGTAATCACTCGCTCTTGCTTCACTTACTACTGGGAAAGAGACCTAGTTTTACTGAGATTAGAATGTTGGCTTCACAGTTACATGCTCACTGAATCTTAATTTAAGTCCTTATCCAATAAGGAACACAGGAGGACAAAAAAACAAAAATGGGGGAATGGTCACCCCTAGCCAGTGCTGCACGGTGAAAAAAGCCTTGGGGCCGGCTCCGTAACCACGGGGCAAGTCCTTTTTCTGCAGTACTTCTCTTTCCTCACCTGTTGGATGGGTGTAATGATGCTAACACTGCCTACTTAAGTTGTTGTTGATAACTTTAACAGGCTGTCTGGCTTTAAATCTGAAGTGCTGAACGCTGCTTTTGATGTGATACGGCCAAAAGTTCAGGCAGTAAAATTCACTGCCTTCCTTAAAGCTGATTTTTACAGTGTGTGGTGACTAAGTCGGCAGTTTCTTGTGAACTGCTTTCAAATACGACTGTAAAGGACAAATTGTATTGCACCGGAGCTTGTATTTTTGAAACAGTCCCTTCCTGATTTTCCCTACAGGGCATATTATAGCTTAGGTCTAAGATCTGATGCTTATAGGGGCTAGAAGGGACATGAGAGGTCATGTAGTTAAGTACTTTGATCTCTGAAGAGAGGAAACATACAAAGGAGTGGAATGACTGGCCCAAAGTCACATAGCAAAAGGCAGAACCAGGATTTGGAGCTAAGACTCAGGACTTTTAGGTCAGCTGCCTTTCTACCTTAGTGTATTGCTGATAATACATGGAGTCAAATCCCACTGCATCAGATTTCTGCAGTCAGCTGTTATGAATCTGATCCCTCAGAGAAACAGGAATAGAGAGAAGTAGGTCCAGATAAGGAATTTTTAGTGCTAAGATTCCTACCCTTTTATTCATGCTAATCTAATGGTTAAAACTTAATCTCATCATGGTGCTCAAATTTGATTTCCAGTTCTGCCAGTGATGCAGTTTGACCTTGTATTTATCCATTCTGTGCCTTCCTCGGTTTGTCCATTTTTTAAAAGGTAATCCTCAAGGTAGGTGCAAAGAGTTAAGTCAGAGTTGTCTCTTAGAAGGTTTTTGGACATAGCACCTGTACTCACTTCTCTCACAGATTTGCCGTTAAGGTCAGATCCTCAGAAAGTCTCAATTTCTGTTACAGTCTATCTGTATTGTCCTTAGACCCATTTTCATACCTTGAGTTTTAGAAGAATCTGAACATTTTAAAGCAAGATTGTGTTGTCTGTAAGAACAAGTGAGATACATGTTTCTTAAGGTACTTTTTATAAATCCTAATTATAGCAATTAAAGGCAATAAATTGCAGCAGCACTCACTGAAAAAGACACAGCTGCTTAAATGCTTTAGTTTCTAGGTTCAGATGTTAAAATATAAATCCCTTAGGGCACATTTCACTGCTAGTTTACGTTTGGACTATAGTACAAACACATTCAACTATAGCTATAGTAACCCACCTCATTTTCTTTTTAAATTTTGCAAAATAGTATTCTCAGGTTCAGGGATTTCCTATTCCATTTCGAGTCCAAATCGGACTCGAGTTACAACCCAAATTCATTCCTTGTGACCTGCATAAATAGAGCTTGCAGTCTAATTCTGGGCAAATTGATATGTTAAAAAGATAAAAAAAAAGTCTCTGCTATATATGACCTGGTATCCCATGCTGGAGAAAATGGATTGAGTAGCGAGTTTGGACCAGAGTCGGTTATGCCCCTTTTCAACACTGTAGAATTACCCTGGGCTAGACCTACGCCTTTGTTCAATCTGGGTATTGTATGCAGACTTAAGTCTGCCTTTACCTTCATGTTGGCAAACGAGCTTCTGATGCCAACCAGCAATCTTGCAAGTTCAACAGGAATTTATTGAACATCTGCTATGTGCCCAGAACTGTGCTGGACACTGTTAGTGATAATAATAGCCAACACAGTACTTTATGGCTTTCAATGCGTTTATAAGCATTCTCATTTGATTTTCCACAAGCCTGTGAAGTAGGTACCATAGTTATTGTTCCCATTTTATACATGCAGAAACTAAGGCTTGAAATAAGTTGATTCATCCAAGATCAATTAGTAAGTTTCAGGGGGTAGGATTCAGACTTGGGTCTTGCTCAGTCCACATCCAGCACTCTATCCATTATGAAGTATATATGGTACCTGTCTTGGGGAAAAAAAAAAAGTCTAGTTACATAATAACTTTGTTGTGTATTTAAAAGGAATATCAAGTTGTACATAATAAATTTGCAATTTCATGTGCAACCAATTTTTTTCTATTCTATGTTATGGAAATGATTGTTTTAATTCTTAAATTCACAATAAAATAAACTTTTTAAAAAGTCTATCTGGGACAAAGAAAACGTGAGGCAACTGCAGGAAAGTATGAGGTGGGATGTAACTTTTTTTTATGGATTATTAGAGATGAGAAGGGGAAAGTTCAGGGTCATCATTGGTCAAAATGTAAGAAAGTGACTAGATCAATTTCATCTGGAAAATTGAGGCTGGTATCTCTAATGCCTTCCTTATAGGATTGTGCTGAGTTGATAATGTATGTTTAAACCTCTGTGTGTGTACAATAACACTAACTATACTCAGCACTACTTATCTCATTAATTCTTTATCTCTCAGGGTTCAAAAGTAGTTAAGTAGGTATGCTCTGGAATAAACTCAGATATTACTAAAATTACCAAAACACTTTCTTTAATTGACTGAGGCCCCATTTCTGAGTAAACCTAGGAAATCTCTTCTTCCCTAGGCTAGCACCCCTTCACTCAATCCCAGAACCAGAATTTATGGTCTTAGATAATTACTCTTAATGGCCATGCAATTTATTGACATTATTAATAATATCTGGTGACAGACATTTAAATAAGAGAAGGCTACCCGGGGGCTCATAGCTAAATGGAAGGAAAGAGCTGCTAACTTGAATTCCTCTTGTCAAAAGCCACAATGGATCTCAGCTCAAGTCCACTCCCACCATGACCTCGTCTTCTCTCCCTTCACTCTTTTGTCCAGGTGCTTATCTGTTCCTGTCTTACTCTCACTTCACCTTCTTTTCTGTCACTCCAAAAATCTGTTCCTCAGAAAACACCAGAACTAAAACATAAATTCAACCTTCCAACAACCCAGGACTCTTGGGATTCTCCTGAAAAAAAAAAAAAAAAAAAAGTCCTCCAAAGTGTCTGTGATTCTGAGACGGTCATCCTGTCTTTCTGATCCTGAAGAGGTCAGCCAAAGTTTCTGTGATCCTGGGTCTCAGCAACCCAGGGCTACATATGGCAAGTACTCACTCTGTAAATCTTAAATCATACTGTTGTTCAGGCATTTTTCACTTATGTCTAGCTCTTTGTAACCCCATTTGGGGTTTTCTTGGCAAAGATACTGGAGTAGTTTGCCATTTCCTTCTCCAGCTCATTTTACAGATCAAGAAACTTAGGCAAACATGGTTAAGTGACTTGCCCAGGGTCACACAGCTAGCAAGTGTTTATGTAAATCGTTACATAGATGTCAGCATTAATAAATGCAGCAAAGGCTGGGTGGCTGGTTGTCCAATATGTTATTAAAGGAATTCTTTCAGTTATAGGTTGAACTATGTGAACACTGAGGTCCCATCTAACTCTAAGATTCTGTTAAATCTCTCACCACTGTTTAAAAAAAAAAATCATGTCACAAGGCATGCCTTACTGCAGCAGCAATCAATTGAGGAATGGCAAATAGTAATTAAAAATAGCTGGCACCTATATAGCACTTTAAGGTTCATAAAGTACTTACATAAGCTATTTGATCATCACAAGCACCCTGTGAAGTAGGTGCTAATATTGTCCCCATTTTACAGATGAGGAAACTGAGCCTCACAGAAGTTAAATGGCTTGTCCAAAATTATCTTCCCTTCTCCAAATCCAACCTTCTATGCCCTGTGCCACCTAACTGCCTGACAGTTACTTCCCATCTATAGGATAATAAGAATACTATAAAACATACCAGTGAAACCAAGAATGGACTCAACATGGAGGCATGAGCAGGGATCCCATGAGAGAGGGCTTTCTGAGCCCGTCTTATTGTTGGAGCCAAAGCTTCAACTCAAAGAGAGCCATAATTAAACACTAATTCGTGGCAGGGAGCACATTTTTCAGTGATTATAGCATGCCTGGAGGGAATAGCACTAGGCCAAAAATTCAGAAGAAAAGTGAAATAACGACCCTGCAATATATAATCTCACCATTGTTGGAAGAGAGAATGATCAACAAAAGGGAAGCACCCTGCCATCCCATGAATAAAACAAAACAGCCAAGGGCAGCATTGCTAGGGCCAGGGCAGTGGCCGTCAGCTGTGACTGGTCTTCTCAATCCGTTAGTATTAGCACCAGTGTCTTTAG